TTCCCTTATGTCCGTGGAGAATCTCCCCTTCCTCTGGACCCTAGAACCCTTTGGGGGTTTGAGGAATTGACACTGACATTTCCCTATTCCCACACCAGCCTGCTCTCCCCCAGGGAAAACAGTTCTTGTGCATTGAGCACCTACTGTATGCCAGGTACATGCAACATCTCACTTTTCGCTCACCACTACCCAGAGAGGAAAGTAAAGCATAGCTATCGTCCTGATTTGACAGATGAGGAAAGCAAAGCTCCGAGAGGTCAAGTGACCTGCCTGAGGTCATACAGCCAGAATCCAGGTAAAACGGGATCCAGTACCCAAACCTTTCCTAATGTACCAGGTTAAACATCCCCAGATGCTTTCACTTGTTTCAGTGAGGGCACGGTTTTGAGTATGCATAGCACCTCTGAAGAGTAGAGGTTGGTTTCCACAGAGGAACAAAAGGGTCAAGAAACCACACAGTTAACAATACAGCAAGGCTGAGATTAGCATCCATGCTGTCAGGATGCAATGGAGTAGGCAGGATTAAGAATACATACTTTAACTGGGTTCGAATTTTCCCCTGCCCTAGCTAAGAGTGCCTGGGCAAGTCAGGTCACCTCTATGAGCTTCCAATGTCTCATCTGCAAAAGGGGAATAATAGTAGTACCTCCCTCATTGGTTGTATAAGGAATAGATAAGGTAAGCTGTGTTAAGAGCTGGTACCTGATAATAATAAATAACCCACATAGCTATTTTTCATTTGTTGTTGTTAGAATCCTCTTTTGGCCAGGCGTGGTGGTTCATGCTTGTACTCCCAGCACTTTGGGAGGCTGAGGTGGGCAGATCACCTGAAGTGGGGAGTTCGACACCAGCCTCGCCAACGTGGCGAAACCCTGTCTCTACTAAAAAATACAAAAATTAGCCAGACACGGTAGTGCATGCCTGTAGTCCCAGCTACTCGGGAGACTGAGGCAGAATCACTTGAGCCTGGAGATGGAGGTTGTAGTGAGCCGAGATTGCACCACTGCACTCCAGTCTG